CAGAAAAAGGAGAAAAGATGTTTGAGACTTGAGGATGCAGTATAACATCAGATAAGAGACACAGACTGGTTTATTTGAATAATAGTACCTTCTTTTTATATAGACATCACAACATAAAGCCTTTTCCAAGTTATTTTCCTTCTATTGCATAGTGTGAACAAGAAAATAATAATCTACAAATTAAGTAGTCCTAGAAATAAAACATTTTGCAGACTTTTTTCCTCAGACAGGATGAATATCAGGTGAGATAAAAAAATCAAGTAAGTGAGAGACAAGGTTTGGCTGTACCTTAAGCTCAAAGACACCCTTGATATTTCTACTTATGACAGCCCTGAATTAGGAGGTCTCTGGCTGTAGTAAAGAAACACCTGTGCTGCATGTTAAAATAAGAAAAGAAAGACAAAGCAGTGGTGGAGCACTTTTCAGAAAATTAGTGGCCTTGTTAAAAGTCTCATGAGAATTTTGATAGATGGTATTGAGTACCTCAGAGGAGTGATATCAGGATTAACCCTTCTTCACAGAGCTATTTGAAAACAGATTCAAATCAATATATAGGTGATAAGTATTTGTTGTTATTACCTCTTGCATTCTGCCCCGTTTTTTGAGGAGGTAATTAACTGTGACACATGAAATAGTCCTGTGAGAGCTCCTGGGTTAGAGTAGAATAAAACTAGCAGATGAAGTGTCAAGAGTTTATACTACTGTTTATTTTATACATTTAAAGTACACTATCCTTTCTAGTACCATTCCTTCAAATAACTGCACCAATTTGCTATATTTTAAAGGTACTTATGAAGAGCGAAGCAGTCAGCACAACTGTAGGGCTTTGAAACATTGAATGTAATGTAAGGATTAACTGTTTGATATGAAAACCAGAATTTTTCAAAATACAACATAATTTAAGCACTAGTGTACTGCTAGGGCCATCACTTCTGAGTCATAAATACCAAATCTCTTCATTGGCCTTCCCAAGCCTAAAGTCTGTCACCACACATTTGTCAGTCTTCAAGACTAAGTGAAAACAATTCTTACATCTGTAACACTGAGTGTAGAAATAAGTCATCTTTGACTTCAGAGGCTATGCATTCACATAAAATTGGTAGAGGTTTATCTTGGTGGAAACATATCTTCTCCCTTCCCCTCTGTTCCTCCCAAGTCTAAGAATCATACACATGTTCAGAAAGCAATGACATGGCCCCAGAAAAGGTAGATGTGTCTTCATACTTCTTATTTTTATACAAAGCAAGGTACTTAAAAGGGCTACTTCTGTATCATACATTATCAGCTTATTTAGATTATGGATTTGTTGCAGACAAGATCATTTCCTTGGTGAAAATGTCTGGAACAGCTAACAAAAAGAAGCCCGGGCTTCTGCTAGGACCTCCAGACTCTATTATAATACAAAATAGTTAGTAATCTGCCTTTCTTTCCTGGCTGATTATGAGAGAACACAAAGCTGCCCAGAAGTAAAAAGTTTCTCGGGTGATGAAAAAATAATACTATCTGTATATCTCCATGTATCAAAAGAGTATAAGGTAAAGTGAATTACTCATGTGCATAATTAATACAGTTAAAACATGTATGTTACTAAACTCCATAAATTATCTGTTTTCACACATTTTAATGTGACACATTAAAAAGAAATACTTATGAAATAACTTATCTGTTGTATAAGTCATAATTCTTTTTTGAGCTTCAAAAGTCATAAATGCATTATGAAGTCCTAAAATAATGCTTATCTATGACAAGAAAGTAAGTATCATTTTTCCGGAGTTTATTAAAACTTCTTGAAAGTTTTTTAGTTAACTGTTTTTTTTTATCTTTTACTTAAAAGTTCTTCTTAGACAGAATGACCGTAACAAGAGTATGTGTTTGAAACTAACATGAAAAGTTGACTTCATATTCACACATTCAAACTCTTCGGTGCTTCAGTTCAATCCTGGTGTCATTCGTGCCTTTTACATATCTACTGTCACCCATTTATCAATATAGCTGGAAGACTAAGTCTCTGTAGTATAGAGAAAGAGGAGTATGACCCACATTTATGTTTTCTTTGCCTCACCTTATTTCTGTCTTCTGTCTTTATGGTTTTCTTACTGGTTTTCACAAATTGAAAGTTAACAACAATGAAATACTAGGCCACTGATATTTCTGACGTGTGCAGTTTTTCTTCTGCTATGATTCCTAAGTTCCTATGTGGGCATTGGCCAACTCAGTCCATTGTGTCTCTACCTGTCCAGTTCTACTGCAGCTGAGGTTTCTTTTTCAGTTTAAAAATGTCGTCATGTTACACTGATTGATAAGCTCGTGTTTTATAATGCATGGAAGCAGCACGTAACAGTGGAAAACCTGAACAATGATCTGTAATATACCAGAAGAAACAAAGTAAAATTGTACAGAGGTACAGCAATTCTTGAGCTTGACTTCTGACTAAGATTACAAGCATTTGCAGATTAGAAGCTTATGACGGGTTTGATTTGAACAAATCTAACTTTTTGATCTTGTTCACAATCCAAGTGTGGGTGATTTCCTTTTTATATCAGTTTACTTAGGACTACAAATATAAATTTCTATATAACAAATCAAGTTTGGTTGGTCTTCCATGACATATATGATAAAATACAAACCATATCTAAATACAGAAGAGTACTCAGACATTTCTGGCTATTTGTATGCAACTAAAAAAAAATTGGGATGCACAAAAAAGCACTAGAACTAACAAGTTAACAATGAGGATCAAACATACTGTAGTCAACCTCTAGGTTTACCTGAAGTTCAGTCATGCTTTTCAAAGATCAATAAGCAATATCACCAGAGTAAATCTAGCTTTTCAGTTTAAAAACAAGGAATTCAGGATCTGACTTAGCTTGAAATTGATACCAGTCACCAGAAGCTGAGAAAATTTCACCAGCTTAAATCGTGATGGTGTTTATCTTTTTTTAGTTCTATTTCCTCATGTAAAATCATAAATCTTGAGAAGATAATTTTGTTTGCTTACCAAAATATATTTATTTTACTTTTTTCACTTTCAATTTCACTTTTAATTCCTAAAGTCCTACTCATATATCACAATGATGCAAAATAAGTATTATTCAAGCTGTTTCATTTATCTTAAATATACACTTCAGTGATTTCTGGAAAAAAAAAAAAATCTGATGTATATTGTAACGAAATTCTTACTAATTGCAATGTTTTAACAGTTCTATTAGACAGAAAGTCCATGTCAGTAAGCATGTGTGATACTCCAGAACAAAGCAGTGTTGTCTAGGACTCTTTCTGGTATACATTCAAGACACCTTTTAAGGTGCATTCCAACTATTAAATGCATGCCAGCATAAATCCATAAAATCACAACAGCTCATCAAAGGTACTCAAGATACATGCACAAGTCATAATATTGAACAGTATGGACTCAGATTTTTGTTAAGTAATAGCTTAGAAAATGTTCAAATTAAATAGCATTACATGCAAACTTCAGTATGCCTAATATATAGTTTATAATTTTAGAGATTTATAATACATGTAGTATGAAGAGAATATGAAGGCTAATTATATTTTTGACATTTTGAAAATATTACAATAAATATATCAATATGAAGAAAATTCTAATGCAGTAGAAGATGGTGAAAGAAAATTTACTATTCTTGCAATTCTTTTGTCATTTAATACTTGCTTAATAACCCTAGTCATATTCTAAGACTATTTTACAGTCTTTCCATATCATAGAGTGTCATTATCAAATAGATATAATATATCCAATATTCCAAAGCACATCTGTTTTTAAATATTTGATCTCTAACTTCTTTTTTCAAAGTTAAAACTTCAAAGGCACTCACAGGAAGTAAGTGTCCAAATCTTTTTGCAGGTCTCTTAAAATCTCATCTAAATAAGCTATAGCAGGACTTGAAAATGTATAGACTAGGTATCAGTGCAACAACATCTTAGGCTAAATCCAAACTGACCTGCTAAGGCATGCCCCAAGATGCTCAGAGTCTCATTTCTCCAGTTGTTCAAATCGGAATTGGGCAAGCATACACTACAGCTTCTCTATGGCCACATTTCTAAGTTGATTTTTCACTGTCAAGTCAAGAAGGTCCTGGGGTTATTACCTAAGCTTGGAAACTTGGAGTACACTCAAATTCAGTAAACATAGATAAATTCAGGGATTGACACCAACCTTGACTTTTTATCTATTAGTATTGAATTTTTCAATGAAAATACAGAAAAATGAAAAAAAAATGCACAATGCAGAAAAAAAAGGCAAGGAAAAAAAAAAGCAAAATGCAGAAATGCAATTTTGATGATACCAGGCATCAATTCCCATCATCTCTGCCTATATTTCTAGACTGGGAAGAGAAGTAAGAGATGTAGAATAACAACCTGATTCAGAGAAGTAGTTAACTTACTTGCGCTTCAATCCAATTGCTCATGCTCACAGTTCCATGACACTGGAGTGCACAAACATGATTTTTTGAAGAAAATTGTTACAAATGTGGTTCAGAAAAGAAAAAAAAACCCCAAACCACAAAACCCAAAACAGTAAGAAAAGCAGAAAGAAGTGTAAGAAGTGATAACGGCATTGATGTTGAGTGGGCTACAGTACATTGGTTCCAATAATGCTCCATGAAATCCAACTAAACCTTATATATTCCCATAGTTCCATGAAAAATTAGAACAATTTCTCTCCTTAACTGACAAACGCTTTATGTTTAAGTAGTAATTCACAGGGACAGGTCATTGTAACACCTTTTATTTGACTAAAACACTGTGTTGAGATCAGTCTACATTATGCCAAATATGTATTAACGTGTGTTATGATGAAACTGATACTCATATTCATACCATGCTCATATAATTGGAGTCCTATTCCTGTAAATCTTGGAAACATTATACAGACAACTTTTCCACCCCTTTTCCAAGACAATTCAGTGGTATTTCTTAGTGGAAAGTATGCCAATTCACTATTTAAATGGATGAAGGAAACAGAATCATGGACTTACAGTCTGTAATTTTCAGGACTCTTTTGACTTCTCCACTTCCTGATCCTCCGCAACCATCTTCATCATCACAATCTCCACTGATTTGTTCATCTACACCTCCACCACTGCCTGTTTGTCGGAGATCCCATTTATCATATTTAGGAAATGATTTGCCTTGCAACAGCTGAAAACAAGATACAGTATGCAAGTTAGCAGTACAGATGGAGAACTTCAGTGAGTACCCAAAATTTCATCTATGCCTCTCTAGTAATTATTTTATTTAAAAAGAAAACTCCAGGATCTACAGAATGAGAATTCTGATTTTTTTTTTTTCCCCCCTGGCTTACAGACAGATTTGAGAGAGTGGTATCTGGAGATGTATACTTCTTTTTCAATTTAAAAAAAAAAAAAGTCTGTGTCTTCATTGCTAGATAAAAAAAGATCAGGCACCAATTCCTGGCCCATGTCCTCACTCCTTCAGGCTAATCCCCTTTAGAGCAGACAGACAGCATCCATGCTACATAGCAACTAGCCCTGGATCTTTTCAAGACCCATGCGGTGTCCACATAGCCTTAGGATACAGTTATTATTTTGTGTGGATTTTTCAGTTTGAAATATCTGGACTAGTATGAGAACTGTGCTGCAGCTCTGTATTGGTGAATCCAAAATGTACGTTGTGTGCTCTGGGTGTGTCACACAAGCATCTGGTAGAAGCTGAAGGAAAATATGTGTTGGGACAAATATCAAATGCCTGACCAGGGAGCAGCAGATCAAGCTAGTACAGTTTGAGCCAGTGCCAGCCTGGAGAGAACTCTTTCCCAAATCACATCCAGGCATTGTTTTGGGAGAACTAGTAAGGGTGACCTAAAAAACCCAAAAGGATAGCTGATACTGGGCTAAGCAGTGTAGGTGGTTTGGGTCCAGTACACAAGCTTGTTCTCTGGCTCCTTTTTATTTATCACTATAGAAATGGCCAATGATGCCAGCATGGTCTACAAGACAATGGGTAGAGATCTCAAAGTTTAACTCATTTCTCCGTTCTGTTGAGCAGAGCAGAGCAAGCACCAGAATAATGTTAATCTCTCTCATTTATCAAATGTACAAATGCTATCATCTAGCTTTTTAAATACTAAGTGGTAGGACTGTCATACATACATAAACAATGTGCCCTCTGCCCCATCCAGATTCAGTTCAGTTTACATGTCAGATGCATATAACCTTCATAATATCTAAAGAAACAAGTTCTTACAAATGTTAAGAATTCTTATAACTTTATCTAGACCAAAATATCAGCTGGTGCAGGCTCGTGCATTGCACTTGCTTCAATCTAGCAAGACTTCTTTACACTGGCCAAAACTTCGCTGGCTCAAATTCTTTAATTTAATAATCAGATGTTTTTTCTCCTGAAAGTAGCTACTGATTAGTCTGAAACAGACTAAATTGTTTTATATCTTCAAAAATGTCGTTGCTTTGTTGTTCAGGCAAGATACTGGGTTCATATTTTTGGACAATATACTCAGTTTGTTTGCGGAGTATGGAGTCACTTCCCAGACTACTTGATCTGTTAAGTGCTGTACAGTGCCCAGCAAAAACACTTTAATCACTGCTACAAAGATATCACTCAGATAAATCTCAGTAGCTTTATAAAAGCCACTTGCAACACTGTATAAGAACAGGAGAATGCCATTCACCACTGAATCAGCAGAACCAATTTATGCAGCACTTTTGATTCAAAAGGTTTATTAGACAGTTATATGCTACCTGAAAGACAAACTACCTAGCTAAGACAAAAAAAGTTCCTTTGTACAGCTGCCCTGCTCCCTGCTTATTGTGTAATCCATGCCATACTTCCGCCAACACAATATTTATGGAGAAAAAAACCCCAACAGCCAACAGCCAGTTTAATGAACTACACCCAGTTAAACAGGACATTTTTCTTATTTTTTTGGTCCAGTTCAAATCATAACACAGCCCCAAAGCCAGCTGTATGATAGGGTACTCTTTATTCCCGAGTTCTGTAGCATAAAGCATAAATATGAAAGAACCTCCAGTAAGACAGATTTTCAAACAAGAGTTGCTGCCAAAGTTTCCATAGTATAGAGCCATTGATATATACATTTCTTCAGCCTGAGGACATGCATCCCCCTGTACATTCTGTATCTCTGTCTAAGTCTTAAAAATTTATTGGCTTAATAAGGTCTTTATATTTTGCTGCTTCTCTAAATTTCAGCCCAAAGTAGTTATGTTCTCTTTCCTCTTTTTTTTCCCCTTTCTACTTATTGTGCATTATTGACTTATGACTAGAAATCTGAAAATCCAGATGATCCCACTGAATTGCTTTAAATGTAGGTTCAACATTGAAAAAGTGTTCTTCAACTTTTTCCAAAATTTTCACTAAACTTGAAAGAGTAGAGATTAAGAAATGAACAAGCTCATTTGTAATTTGGATTTTGTTATTCCCTTCAGTATCCTTAATTGTACAAGAAGAAATATTGTCTCCATATAAGTTCACAAATCTCAGTGCTGGTTCTCTACTAAGCATGGCTTAGATCTAATATAAATTCTTTATTAAATTTATACAATCCATGTACTTCTTCAAAGCTAGATTGATTCACATTAGACATAAAGATAAAAGGCATTTAAAAAGATTATTCTGTTGTGCTGTAATTTTTATAAAGCTATTATTTAAAAGGAAAAGAAACACAGGTTATAACTGGAGAATTTTGTATACGCTTACTGGGTCTTCCAGCTGAATAAGGAGGTTTACTAGCTGTAGACCCTGTGCCCAAAAAAACTAGTACAATAAATGTTCTTCCCTTTGTATCGCAGGCTAAAATAATCTCTTTTTCTTTCAGGTGTCCAAAAAGGTTTTTCATTCTATTAAAGAATGGAAATGCATATTAAGATGTCATATTTAAAAGTGTCATTAAAATGTCTTTAAAATGTCATTAAAATGTCTTTAAAAAAAATACTGTGGGTTTAATCATGCATCATTGCCTTTCAATTTCAATGAAAATAGCAGCAAATATTATTGACAGCCATGTTAGTTTGACTGAGTTATGGCAAGCGTTAGGTCACCAGTGTTGTAAGATTGCGGTAGGCATGCCAATATTCCAGGCTAAGTTTGCTGGATCTTTCCCTTAATTTTGGTGAAAGTTTGTTGAACTAAGATTTTGATATCAAAAACACGTCCTCTGTTGGTGGCATTTTATTTTCACAGAAAATTTGTGTTTTCTTACCATTACTGTGGTACATGTGCACAGGTGAATGGTTCGGGCTTAAGTCAACTGAAAGGTCCTTGGGGGTCTCCAACTTCACACCTTGCCTACGTGGCTTTGGGAAGCTGGGCCTCCAGCTTAGATCTCTCACTGCCCAATTGCCTAAAAGCCCCTGGGGATTTTCACTGGTGACTTAGTGGAACACTTTCTTTGACACAAACAACAATTCTGAAAAAGGTTATAATACCAAAAAGCACCATTATTAAATTTTGTGAAATTTCATCTTTTAGAAAGAAAATAGAGGTTTGCATGATGGAAATTACATTGTTGTAATAAAGTACTTACAGTGTTCTGTAAATATATGACTTGGTACCATATAACATTTCAGTGAGAAAAAGGAACTGCTTACAGCAGCTACAGAGGCATCTATAAGGGTAGTTGAAGCTTCCTGACAAATCTGAGTGTAAACATAATCAGGAAAATTATCACTAAGAATGTACGGTTGTTGTACAGTCCTATAGGGTCTGGTAATTTTTCCAGGTTATTTAAGGTTTTTATGGATCACCTGAAAAGCAGTATAAAACACAAAACGGTAATGATAAACCTTTCAGTGCTACAAGAACTGGACAACTGCTAAATAACAAAGAGAAGCGACAAATTGTCTAAGAAGATACCTCATCTGGTAAGTCAGGCAATAGAATGAATTTTTAAACACATACTATAATAAAATACAAACAAATGTAAATTTGCAAGGCTAAATATTGTGTTACATGCATATCAGAAGATAAAATATTCTGTTCTGTAAAATAATTCTGTGTCCTTGATAGCCAGCAGACTATGAATTATCAAGACTGGTGTTCTAGCCAAAGATTTTAATGGGATATCTTTGGGGACAGAAATAGGAATACTAAGTCAGATTAGGGATCTTCTAATACTCCTAAATCCAGTTCTTGTTTCCTCTGTGCAGAAAGAATGGCACAGAAGTGAGTTCTATTACAGTGGTTAAAAAGGAACCAAAAAATACATTTGTTTTTAACCAAGGTGCTCATCCTTTAGTGCACCAAAAAAAACCCCAACACATTAAGAATCTATTTAAACAACCTTGTAAGTGCCTACATGGCAAACACAGAATTGACAGATTTGTGTAGCAGGCCAAAGCATATGAAAATAACAAATTAATCAAAACCTGTTATTTACACATTCAAAGTGAATCAAACAAATCTATATTATCAATATCATACATTTAAAAACCCCACAACTGTTGTTCTATATCAAAATAACTTATTAACAGTTCTGGTCAGGTTCTTAAAAAAAAATATATATATATATGTTCTGGATCAAACAGTTTTTGGTCTTAAAGCATGAATTAATTCAGAGGTTCAAGGACAGGGTATGCAAGAGGTTAGACTAAATAACCAAAATGGTCCCTTCTGTCTCTCAAAAATCTGTGAATTCATGTAAGTAAATCTGGTTTAAATGAGAAGACTGGATTCTTTTCTACTTTCCTGTGCTTACAGGAAGTTACAAGTGATTTTGTCTCTCATGAGTGATGAACATTGAAAGGCAAGGGAACTTACGTTTACACTATTGAAACTGATGTGATATTGGTTCTCTTTCAACAAAAATCTAGTATCCTATTTGCTTATCTTACACATCATATACCTTCAGGGGAAACACTGATTTTCTATGAATTTTATTTTATTCTTTTTCAATAAAAATATCTTGATACTCTGTTGCAGTCAATGTGAACTAAGCTCAGTCATAATATTTCCTCTTTCATTTATGTGTGCATCATAAGTACTTGTGGAGGGAATCCCAAAGGAGCCCAGCAGTGAATCCAATTTACCTAATCAAATCAAACCTAGAAGAATTATTTCTAGAAGTATGACTATTTTGAACTCTTTCAAATGAGAGAAATAAACTATGCTAAAGTTCATTGCTCTGCTTAGCATTACATACCTGAATA